GTGACAGCCCCGAAACCTTGACTCAGAAATACCGGGATGGTGTCCGGCGGGGGATAGTTTCTACCATTTTTATCTATTTAAGTAATTATACAGTATTTGTCCTACCTGGTAATCCCGGCCCCGAAACCCTGACTCAGAAATACCGGGTTGGTGTCCGGCGGGGGATAGTTTTTACCATATTGTAATTAAGTTGTAGATAAGCATAATCTTGAGCTGTAATTCCTGGCCCCGAAACCTTGACTCAGAAGTACCGGGTTGGTGTCCGGCGGGGATAGTTTTCCACCAAAGTTTTAACTGTTGTTTATTTTGTTGTACTGTGATGGTTACTTTTGTTATTGTTATTGTAATATGTGTTTGCAGGACCATATTGTAAAACAGCGGTAAGATCTCGCCTGTATATGTTATCCTGCCTAAAGATGTTTTAAATAAAAACAATAAATTTACTCCCTAGGTCGCCATCCAGTCGTCGTTGTCACTGCAAAAGATTCCATGAACGATGAAGACAGAACAATTTTTGAAACGTCATTACATGGTTTTGGTACGTATCGTTGTTTAAAGTCGTAAGACACCATAATGTGTACTGACACTACGTTAATATACAGTACAATTTAATGCATCACGTTAATGTATCGTATTGATCAATGTAACTTGTTTTAGGCTAATAACTTAATGTTGTGAAACAAAACATTGCATTAAATGCTGTTCTTTCAGTCCGTTTGTTCTGCATAGCAAAGCAAATGATCATTACACACCCATGTGTGCAATGTATATGCATGCGACGCTATACAGAGTACAGAGTTTGTATTAGTGATGGCCTATGCCATGCAGCTATGTTTTAAACGTTTACATGATGAATATTTAGGCGGCAGATTATAAAAGCTTAATTAGTGCTATGCAGGATGTTTATTTTATACTCTAACTAGGTTTGGAGCCCACCCCCACCCACATCCTTTCACCTGCCTACGGATCTGCTTTTATGTATACCTGTATCTTCATCCGTCTATTCACCCCTCGTTTTCTCTATTATCTGATCATCTTATTAATCCTACTCAAAACGGATTCTTTCTCATGTTTCCATGTCCCTGTAGCATATCCTAGATCTTCTGTTGTAGCGGTGCCATCACCCACCTGCTGATAATATTACCATTGTTATACCTCCATGAAACTGACATATTTTATGCGCCATTGAAAGTATGTCGTTACTTAACCAATGCGTACGGTAGCGTACCAATTCACCTAAGTGGTACAATCGACAAAAAGTCAGCAGTCAATGAAATATAAGTTCTTTCTATAAAAACCCAGCAAAGACTGAGCTGATTACGTCACGTCACAATAGAATAGTAGACAATGATCCAAGGTTACCATTGGCTTTTAAAAACGCTTATATTAACAAAGACAAACCACATTTGTATCTGCAACATTAATTATCTTGATCCTGGACCAAATCCACCCCTGTGCCCCCCTGTAGTACCGCCACTGCACATTAATGCACTTGTCAATTGTAGTCTCGGCCTCCCGGGACCCGGTGCATAGCGGGGCACTATGTGGGACAATAGCCTGGTTCACGTCGAACTTTTATCTAGATATACATCCACTTAACTAGTTAAAAGTTCGACGTGAACCACTCAATTATAGCTAGATAAAGGTTTAAGTCACTTAAAGTTAAGTCCCTAGCAAAGCGACGTTGGCCCAACGTTGGTAAACGTTGGCAAGCGTTCGTAAGCGTCAGGGTCGGATATCTGACGTTGGTACGACGTTGGTGTTTGGTTGCAAAATTTGGTCGGAGAGGTAACGTCAAACCAACATTGGAATTTCACGTTGGCCCAACGTATGAATATATTTGTCGATTTTCCGATGTCGTCCCAACGTTGGTAAGCCGTCGTAAATATTCAGTCTGACTACAGACGTTGGTACAACGTCACGATTTGTTACTGGCCAGACGTCGGCAAACTACTAAAAAGATGGTTGGGTACTACCGTTGGCCCAACGTTGGCTAGAGGTTGTAAATATTAGATGTGATTACAGACGTTGTCTCAACGTCACAGTACGTTGTTGGCCCGACGTCGGTAAACGTTTGAGATGGAGGTTGGTTAAAACCGTTGGCCCGACGTTGGTAAGAGGTAAATATTAGGATGTGATAACAGACATTGTCGCAACGTCACAGTACTTTGTTGGTCCGACGTCGGTAAACGTTAGTGGAGATGGGTTATAACCGTTGGGCCGACGTTGGTTAGAGGTTGTAAATATTATATGTAATAAAAGACGTTGTCGCAACGTCACAGTAGGCCTACTTTGTTGGCCCGACGTCGGTAAACGTTTGAAATAGACGTTGGGTACCACCGTTGGTCCGACGTTGGTTAGAGGTTGTAAATATTAGATGTGACTATAGATGTTGTCGCAACGTCACAGTACTTTGTTGGCCCGACGTCGGGAAACGTTTGAAATGGACGTTGGGTACCACCGTTGGGCTGATGTTGGTTAGAGGTTATTGTAGACGTCGCAACGTCGCAGTACGTTGTTGGCCCGACGTCGGTAAACATTTGAAAGATGACTGTGTACTACTGCAGGACTGTAAAGGGTGGTAATGATTATTTTGTGTCAACATCACAGTACGCCGTTGGTGCGACGTTCGTTGTTGGCCCGACGTCGGTAAACGTCTGAAAGGATGACTATACTACCGTTGGGCCCATGTTGACTTCAGGCCGTCAAGAAAATTGCGAGGTGCCACGTGTGTCCGTATTATAATAAATGTACTTGATAAATAATTGATGTACCTTGATAAAGACCTAAGGATAGGTCGAAATATTGGTTTTCTCAAATAAAGTGTTTCCTAAGTCTATACATTGTATTCGTTTGCTATATTGACCAATCAGCGCCGCGTGTTCTTGTTTCAAGTTTCAAGTTCAAAAACGCGGGATTCGTTACTGAAACGACGCCATTCCTGTTTTTATCGTACGAGTGGTAAGAAGGTGTGTCGAATCATAGGTCGAAAAAGGTGAGTATTTTACCATTACACAACCTTTAATTTATGCCAAACTAGTTTGAACCTTATTATTGTAATCGTATTGAGATAGTAAAATGCCGGGAGTTTATCTCATTTTGATAGCTTTTCTTGAGTAGGTAGGTGAAATTTAAAAAGGAAGGGTGTAACATATTTTACTTTTAGAGGGTTGGTCCAGTGGCTTTTTCACCATTTCTCCAGTCGAGTTTTAGACTTAACTAGTCAAGTCCGATATTACTACTACTGTATTAATTATTTTAAAATCTTCAAACTCATAAAAACGGACATAGGGCCTAAACTTTCATTTTAAAACTACGGGTATTTGCTGAGTCTCACTTGCCACTCCGTACTTAGTGTCAAAGCTACCATGATTGATGTCCTGAAGTGATGTATTTCACAGTCTTATTGGACTGTTTATTATTTTTGGCCTGTGAACTTGCATACCTGATTTGGCCTTTCATTTTAAATCAATCATTATACTTTTTTACTAACTGTTTGAGACTGACAGGCATGTAGGTCAATAATGTAGCAGGACATTACATGATAGTAATTATCGTCCAATTTCTGTTCTTCCCGTGTTCTCCAAACTCTTTGAACGTTTGATTTATAACAGACTTTATAATTTCATTTTTCGCTTTAATTTACTACACAATAATCAGTTTGGTTTTCGGACTAAGTATTCTTCATATATGGCTCTCTTAGAAGCATACAATCGTATAGTCAGCAATTTAGATAACAATCAACATACTCCTGGTATATTCCTAGACATTTCAAAGGCGTTCGATACCATAATCACGATATTTTGCTGTCTTATTATCTGTTTAGGAGTTACCTGACTAATCAGACCCAATATGTTCATTATTGCAATAATAATTCATCAATATCTACTGTCCATTGTGGAGTTCCACAGGGATCTATTTTGGGTCATTTTCACGCGTCCAATGTATTTTCATTTTTCATATATTCTGATGACGCTAATATAATTGTTTCTCACTTCGATTTTGATAATCTAATTTCTCTTGTCAATAATGATCTTTGTAACTTATCCACTTGGTTCAAAGCAAATAAACTTTCCTTAAATATTGCAAAAACTAATTATATTATATTCAGAAATAGGCATAGTAATCGTAATTATCCTGACATTAACATAAAAATTGATAATGTTACGATCTCTAAGGTGTTTCGTACTAAGTATTGTGTTAATTGTGACATATTTTTGGATTTTATCACGTTTTGGACAATCACATGCATTATCTAGATTGTTCATATTTCGCTCTTATTGATTATTCATATCAAAATACCATGGATAACCAAGCTTAAAACAATTTTTAAATCCCATGTATTATCTAGCTTGTTCATACGTCGATCGCTGTTATTGATTATTCATATGAAATCTCAATTACCGATTGATTTTGCCTTGCAAACTCCGTCAGCCTAAAACAATTTTTAAATCCTATTCCGATGCAAAACAACATATCTACATATACATCGTAAATACGTTGTTTTGCCCCGTAATCTTGCAGTTACGTTGTTTAACCACGGAAATTCACTGGATTTTAAGGTTTGTGCTTAAAAATAAGTTGTGCTAATCCCGTAATATCTCATTAATGAGATCTGAAATTTTCACAGGTAAATCAGAAGTGGTTAATATGTTCCAAAATTATATTATCTCAAAATCGACAAAAATATCAGTTACGTTGTTTTGCCTCGCGGCGGTCGATGTGGACTAGAAACTCGTTCAATAATCAAGATGACAAAAAATAAAATTTACTCAAACTTACAAAGTACCAATGTCTGTGTTGCTTATGGATTGTTAATGTTAAATTTTTATTAATTTAGCGAAAAACATATTTAGTAATACACATTGAATAAAGCAATTAAAAATATTTATATAAAAGTATTACATGTAAAAAAAGATGCACAGAATTTCGCATTAAAATTAATATTTATAATAATTACAAGTCTAAAAGCTCCTAAATAAGCTGTAGCTTGTGTCAAAGTAAAAGAAATAATGAATGAATGATATGAAGTTTCGTAAAGGTTATAAGAAAAACAATGTAGATAATGCATTCTTTCGAATTAATCCTCAGAAAAAAGCTGGAATAAACTAGGCATTATCTTAGAGGAGATCTAATTAATATTCATCACACTGGCACCTGATTGGATAACTGCTTCCGGCCTGTGTGCGAATTCAACCGTTCAATGCTGATTACTGCCTTATTCCAAATTATTTGTAGTAATGTGTAGATAATGCCCATTAAAAAATAAATATCATATTTAGAGTAATATTGTTGGCTTTCTAGTAAATTAAGGTGAAAGATTATACACTCAGGAGTCATATAAGACAAAAGTCTCAATTTTGAAAAAAAATGTAGTTAATGCCCTTTTCCGAATCAGGGCAGAATAGTGATTTAATTGCACGTTAGCACAACAAAAAATAATATCAATTTTAATAATCTATGTTCATCTAATGGAATATCCGCGGTTGCAGTCAAAAGATGGGGTAATAAATAAATTAATTAAACAAATAGAACCATTTCTATTCAAAATTATCCGTAATAATTTTATTATTAAATTTAGACAACTATGAATATTAATACATTATAATATTATTACAGAGACCCGAATATGTCGTCCTGTCCTCAGAACTTTCTCAACGTGAAAAAACATTATAAAGTAAAGTAGGTGGTCATCTAAATGTATTTCATTTAGTTTACATTCTGTAACATCTAATGTCCTACTTCTAATGACACAACCAGCCTATGTATAATTTTTTTAATTCAATAGCATTATTTAAAAAATGCTAATTGTTGTATTATTGGTTATGATTACATATATATAAACAGTTAGCAAAGTAATAACAGTAAAAATAACACAATAAACAATGTTAGTTTATTGTTATTACTGTACTTACGCTTATTCACTGGTTATGCAGTTTGATGACCACCTACTATACTATATAATGTTTTCTCACGTTGAGAAAGTTATTATAATATAATGTATATATATATATATATATGTATATATATATATATATTATACATAATATATTCAATAAAACCACAGACATTGTGGTTAGTTTGCCGCAATTTATTTGAAATACATGTGCACGAAGCATTTCAACCATGTCTTTCTCAAATATAAACCCATATGACTGTATCTGTAGTTGTGTCAATTTAAACTTTTAATTTATTTAGCTTTGGCAAAAGGACTAAAGGGATATCACTGAAGCTACATCTGAGGAAAAAATAAAATCATGGCTTAAGTACAGTTAAGACCGATTAGTTAGAAGAAAGGCCAGAGCCGAGAAGCAGAGAGGTAAGTTTCATTTCCACTTCATACGTTTGGATTTTACATGTATTAATAATTAAACTAATTAACTAAATATTGAGTGATTGATTGATTGAATAATTGATTGAATACGTGATTGTCACAACCGATTAAATGATAATGTAAATTAAGCAGCTGATCCTTAACTAATGCATTGGCCCATTAAACCATTAATACGTTATTATGAACATTACGAATCTTTCAAAACGCTGTACGCAATATACCTCCTGTCTTTTTCCTTTCAGCTACAGCACAAAAGGAAGAAGTTCTTCATTTAACTGACAGTGACTGAACAACATGCCATTTCAGGCACTATATTCTTCAAATTTAAACCAGATTTCAAATCTTCGTATTTACATTTAAATTTGATTTTAGATGTTTTTTAATCTTGTAATTTTAGACACCAGGAAAACATAATTAAAAATTGTATACTAAATCATTATTTTTAAATTTAGGTTTTTATGCGCCTACTAAATTTGATATAATTGTGATATTAATGATAAAAATGCATAAAACCACACGAATACAATGGCTTGATCACCTTGGACTTTCTTCCGCGTACTATCTCAATGACCCAGGCTGAATTTCAGATTTTTTTTTTGCTTTGAGTTTAAATCAAACATTAGTGTATTACGCCTTATCTATATAGACTCTATTATATGTTATATATACATACTATGTATATACATTCATTTATAGTAATAAAATAATAAAGTGAAAGATTTTATTGTATTGGGTACATTCTTTTAGAACGCTAGAATAATCTACGCTCCTACTATCTATTTTTTTTTTAATAGTTTTAATGAGATATAAGGGCACCTGATCAACGCAGTATACAAGCCTTAATTAAAATCCGTCAATATTTTGCACAGTTAAATTAAAACACTGTAACGAATACTCAATACAGACTAAAACATATCAGACCAGCGACGTCGTGATGCTGCCATATAAATTACAATGCACCTCGACGTATCTGTCCGAAGACCAACAAAAAAGCAACGTTGGGTCAACGTTAGTCTAGTTGGGTTAACGTCTTTCGAAGAAGCTGAACCCACGTTGGCCTGATAAATATGCAAACGTCTAACCAACGTTAGTATAAATACGTTGGGCCAACGTGGTTTGACGTTGCACAAACATATCGGCCGACGTTGATCCAACTAGTCGGACCGACGTCTTTCCAACCGGCTGAATCGACGTTGGCCCGATGAAAAAGCGAACGTCTAGGCAAACATTAGAAAAGGAACGTTGACCCGAACGTCTAGGCAAACATTAGAAAAGGAACGTTGACCCAACGTAGTTTGATGACGTTGCACAAACGCCGTCGCCCCGACGGTGATCCAACTAGTCGGACCGACGTCTTTCCAACTGGCTGAACCGACGTTGGCCCGGTGGAAAAGCGAACGTCTTATCAGAAAAAGTACGTTGTTCCAACGTGGGTGGACGACGTTGCACAAACATATCGGCCCGACGTTGATCCAACTAGTCGGACCGACGTTTTTCCAACTGGCTGAATCGACGTTGGCAAGATGGAAAAGCTAACGTTTAGGCAACATCAGTAAGGAACGTTGGCCCAACGTAGTTTGATGACGTTGCACAAACATATCGGCCCGACGTTGATCCAACTAGTCGGACCGACGTCTTTCGAACGGGCTGAATCGACGTTGGCCCGATGGAAAAGCGAAGGTACGTTGGGCCAACGTGATTAGGCGAGGTTGCACAAACATTATCGGGCCAACGCTGATCCAACCATGGAGGTATGATCCAACTAGTCAGGCCGATGTCTTTCCAACAAGCTGAATCCACGTTGGGCCGATGGAAAGCCGAACGTCGGGCCAACATTTGTGTAAGTACGTTGTGCCAACGCAATTATTTGACCTTCAACCAACGTCGGGCTAACGTCGCTTGCTAGCTGGGGTGACTTAACTTTACTAGAATATCGGTAAATTAACTTGCTTAACGGTAAATTTGGCTCAGATTACAAGGCCACGATTACGTAACGTAGGCATCTAAGTCAGCGTTGTTGTATTGTACCACCATTATCATGCTCTGGCTGGCAACAACGTACTCCAACAATGCTAACAACAGCAGCATAGTAGTCTCATTAGTACGGTGGCTGATTTCCAACATCCAGTCGTTAAAAATGAGCGCACATGTTTACGATGACGAAATAAAAAAGTGTATTGAAGTTCCATGGCAACTTATTTGACACCGCGAAGCTAGATTTTCGCGAAGTGCATGCAAACAACACAATTGAGCTATCTAAAAACTACAAAACAGGACAGAAAGGTCCATAAAGTATACAGACGTTTTAATGAGAATTAAAACAATATTTTGTTAAATGGAAGAATGCTAGCTAGCGATTAAAATAATTAGTTTTTTATCGAAGGTAAATTTAGCTAGGGCCTAGAGAATCTACTACTGTACTTAGATTTCGATAGAACACGCTGCTGCACTGTCGGTTGGTTCGTACTGGTCGGCTAGGTTATAAGCTTTGGAAACTCACACCTTCTCTACAGTAGTTTACAATTTTTTTTTAACGAATACCACTTGGTACTAGAGGTTCGTAAAATACAGTAGATGCTTTATATTATTAAACAAGCCTTTCGACCGTGTGACGTCGACGGCCTGAAACTGGCTGGCTGTTTATCTGGCTCTAACTTGGCATCGAACGCAGTTAGGGGATTATCGTATCATGTTTCAAGACGGGTATATCTAGAGAAAGTTCGACGTGAACCAGGCTTTTGCCGGGAATAGTTGTGTCCCCGTAGTGCCGGCACGTAGCTAAAATTTACCCATAGATGTAACAGGCCTCGAAAGGCCCGGGAATTTTACATGTTAGAGTAGGCGCAGTTTCGGGTGTGTACGGCGTTAAGTGGCCGGGAGCTTTAGCCGGGGATGGATGTACGTTAAAATGATGCCCCGCATTGCCGGGAGGTGGCCGGGACTTTCACATGCATCTAACCGTTTTGGAAATTACATCCCCGGCTAAGTCCCCTCTAGGCCCGGGTCCGGGGGACCGGGACTGCAATTGACAAGTGCATAAAAGCAAATAAAAGCACTAGACATGATTCGTATCATAGTACTGTACATTGAGTTTTTCATAATGCTACTGGTAATAGTTCAACTGAAATTCTCACTGGGAACATCTCCCTATCCACGATCGAGAGAGGTGAGGTAGCCAGATTTCGTACATTTCGCAAAATAAAGGAAATATATATGAGACAGTGAAAATGGATGCGGGATGTGACAAGAAACTAGTATTTTTTTTTCTTGGCTGATATGCTGTTAGGGAAAATATTTAGGAATATTGGGAAAGTGATCTTTCTTAATTTACTCCATAAATTGTAAGGAATTGTTTTACTGCCATATTACCTGCATTCCTGGAAAAAAAATCACTAATTCGGACCAACGGGCATTCGAACCAATGGACCTTCGGACCAAAGACCCCTCGGACCAACGGGCCTTCAGACCAAAGACCCTTCGGACCAATGGGCCTTCGGACCAAAGGTACGCACCCAAATGCATTCTTGTTTTTAAAAAGAACCTTGTTTTTCCGGCATAGAAATCTTGGCACTTACCAGAAGTCTGGTTATAATGATACAGCGGTGCTCCATTCTTTTTGAAATTATCTCCTGTAGCAATACTTTGTTTACGTTTATAATGTAAACTGCATTGGATTAGGTACTACTATAGAATTGTGCATTCATATTCCGTTTTGTTCTGTTTATCTTTATAATATTTTACTCCTTAGAAGAGTTTTATTAGCGTTCATGATGGCTTTTCGCATAAATATATGTTGGTGCTCTGCACTATAAGAAATGCTACTACGTTACAATACACACAACTAATTTCTAAATATCATAATATTATTCATTGTTTAATCCACATAACACCTTTTCAGGAATCCCTCGCGTCGTTTTCATCGAAAATTACTTGATAGAGGATGATGGAACTACTCCTAAAAATGCTGACATCAAAATGGAAAAGCATATGGCGTTTCTTGATGTCTTAGATGATCTTCAAATGGAGTATGATGGTTGGTTAAGGGCTCTATATGAACTAGACGCAAAAGCTTATGAACGTTCAAAAAAAAATCGAAGACACCAACATGAAGATTAAATCTCAATCAATTCTAGTGGTATTATCAAATTCAGATGTTGAATGATATGACATAATTAATACAATAACTAATACATCATGATTCATAATAATAACTATAAAAATAATAATAGGCCTACTAGACCTAATAATATAGAATTAAATTATATATATATATGTATTCGCTTACTTCAAGTAGTGGTCACCCGCTACATATATATGTAACCCTGTGAAATTTTACTTTTTTAAAAGCTTTAAATTTGGTATTATTTGCCACTCTATAAGGTATAAACGTTATTTTATTCCATTTAAGTTTTAACTTTGGTATACTGTATGTACTGTACTGTATATATTATAGCTGAGGCCACTCAGTGTAAGTGTCCCTGCTAATTATCATTAGTGGTTATGTTTAGGAATTTGTCCTCAGTTGCTAAGGCAACTGCTGGGCAATAGGTGCTATCGGACACCCCACAGTGATAAGGAATTCACTTCTCACTGACCCTGCTTACAAGCAACATCTGTAAGGATTGAGGACCTAATATTTGCCACACCTTATATTTGAGAAGTCATACTTTTAACATCTTTTATATTGCAATTTTATCAACCCGGAGAAGTCTTACTTTTACCATTTTTATACTTTTATAAACTGTTTATGATTTGACACCTTTGCTCTTTTATAGGTAAGAATCATAATTTCCTGTTTTATATTTGATTTAATTTGATTTAACGGTAGTTTATCTGCAATATGATTTGTAGCTCGTACTAGCTAGCTTTCAACGGAACAATTAAGTTGCAGTGTTCCGCTCTTGATTTAGGATTTGACTAAACAATTTTATAAACTTTTAATTATACTATATTGTTAATTTGCTTATCTTATATTGTAATACCATTTGCAATTGCGCTTGGTAATTTGTGCTGTTATGTACGGTAACGTTTTGCAATCACACATTGTCTCCATTTGATAATTCATAAAGTCAGTAAAGTGATTTACTTTATGTTAAATAAGCCTAAATTCTGAGTGTATCAGGACAACTCTGGTGGATATGGGTCATTCACTAGAGGGCAATACATTCACGTTATAGTGGACCTGGAGGCATTGGAGTACGATTGTAAAATTATTACTAAGTTACTTTTAATGTTTTTTATCTGTATCTTTATGTTTTATTCTTTAATTTATCATTTTAAAAAAGGAACGAATGCATTAACCATCTTGATCTTAAGTACGATCATGATATTCAGGTAGACGAAGTATATGTAAGTTTAGTGGAAAATAGGCAGGCATAATATTGGATTTATTAGTAATAATTTATCCGTTAGGTTGCATCTTAGCGAAATGGTATAAAAGTATTAGCATACTTACCTAACCTGAACCTAAGCTATTTATGTAACTATGTTGTTTAATTAATTTGGATGTGTATCCTGAGCTAATCAGTTTTGAACTAGTGTAATGTTGACTGATATAGTAATTGAAATGTTTAACTGATTTTTTGTTTTAATTTTGGTTAATTGCAAACACTATACAATTTTGGTAGACTAACTGTATTGTACATCATGGAATGTATGTACAAGTATTGATATATTCGTATATTTTATTAGTTTAGATCTTTTAGTTTTAAGTGTTTATATTTTCTCTTTTATAGACGAAAACTTAATTTCGGATATTATAATTTTGGATTTAACATGACTATTGGAAAGGACCTGTAATCTTACCAGCAATTGGAAGTGTGGAACTCTTTTCGTACATTTAACTTCTTTTTAAAACTCTTTTGGAAACACTTGGACAAGAAAGAACAATTTCGCGATCAAGAATTTGCGCAACCTAGATTATATTCATATTGTGAAATCAAATCTCACCAATTCATTTTTTAGTTCCTATGCATGTAATGCAATAGGAACTATTGTAATCACTCTTGCTATTTCCTATGTTTTTTATTGTGTGTAGTGTGTATGTGTGTGTGTGTAGACATTTATGCAAATGCGCATGCGTCAAAGAAAAGTTTTCCGACATCTT